GTATTTTCATTTTTTTTAAAAGATAATAACAAATAAGTAGAAAGCAAAAAAAGTATTATACTTAAAACAGAATACCTTGTGAAAGTACCAGAAATGTTTTACGACCGAAGTTTTTCACTCCATTTTCAAGAAAAACTGCAACAAATGGAGTCCAAATTCTCAAAGCTCCCATTAGCGCTACATTGAACAACGGATTACCAGACTATAAGTAATCTTAGAAGTCTACCAGAAGATAGATTGTATAGTCGGAAACAGCAATTTTTTCGTTTATTTTTATTAATTGGTAAATTTGTTTGATTATACTCAAACGTTTTTGATAAGCTTCAAAGACATAGAGTTTGTTTTATTAATTCTAATAAATATCCAAATTTTTAAACATTTAGATAATACCAAATCTTGAATATTATACAAAAGAATATTGCCGACAACATTGATTCCAATACCAGTAGTTACTTGTGATATAGTATATTTGACTAGTTTTCGACTTCTAAGCAAATCCAACACTGTGCACTTTTTACCTGTTCTGAACACTAAATTAATTAGCAACGGCAAATGAGTTGACAATTTAACAATACATTGAAAAGTTTTTTCCAAGCAAAATTTGATAACTGGTCAACCAGGTTTTAGGCATCTATTTTTTGATGTTCTCGAAAAAAAGTTCTTTTTGGCTACTGGTGAACATTTCGAGTAAATTTTGCAAAGAACAATAAAAGTGAATTTATTTATGAAAACTATAAAACTCAGATAGTTCAAATAAGTTTTACTTGGTAATATTTTCCGCCTGCGTTGCTTGTATTTCATCTTCAGTAAAATTTTTTTTTCTACCATTAAATTTAGCTATACGTGTCATTACTTGAGCTGCCTAAAAAAATTTTTTACATTTATCAGAATTTTTTAAATTTTTACATTTTTGTTTTCAAAAAATTTTTTAAGAAAACCAACTTTCAAAAGAAAGAGAACTGACCTTACGATACCGTTTCTTTTGTGCTAAAAATCGTGGACTTTCTTGAATAAACAGCGTCATAATTAAACCTGGTATTGCGATTAAATTTGCAATAATTAAATGCATTCGCCAATTTTTAGTAAAATATGCCAATGTTCCAGCAAACTTAAAAATAATCTTTTTTGCATAATCTGTTAAGAACAATTAGTGGTTGATGCGGTAACAATTTAAAAGTTCTGTTGGCTTCAAATCTGTTGTTGTCTGTTTATACGATAACAGTTTGGACAAATACATTGTTTACCGTCAAGAAAACTTACAATATAACCGAGACAAAATTGAAAAGCATATCCTTGTATAAGCCGATATTTAGAATTAACTGATTCCATAATCAGTGAATATGCAGCACCCGTAAACAGTGAAACCGGTGAAACGAGAGCATTAAGCACAATAAACAAAACATAGTATTCCCAACTGTAAAAATTTAAATTTTTTTCTTGTTTATAAACTTTCGACAATATAACAAAGTTAAAGAAAAATTTAAGCCAATTTTTTAGAATAAGTAACAGCTACCTTGGTGTTAGCGTTGCTTGTGCAAAACCGAACAGCGTTTCAATTAATATACCAGCTACCATAAGCCATTTCCTACCAAATCGATCAGTTAGGTATCCAGCAGTGAGATAGCTGGTAACAACACCCAATGGCAATAAAGATGCCAATGTTGATCGGATATGGTCGGCACGACACACCAACTAAAAACTATGTGCGGTTAGACAAATTTGTTTATGAAAATTAACAATTCTTTTTTTAATCAAGATTTTCTTGTTGCTTATAAGGTTTTTAATTCTTTCTCCTTTTTAAATGTTAGAAAGAATACTTTTAAAAAAACAGTTCTGAAAAAAGAATGTAAAAAGTTAGGCTGCAAAAAAATTTACTGCTTTTGCTGCTAAACTGCTTAAGTATATTTAAATCTTCAGTGAATTTTTCTGTTAATTTGTTATTGCTTGGTAACTAGCTTTTGTTAAAGTTAAAATAAAGCAATTGAAATTTGTAGTTCACTGTTATGTGGGAACGGCTAAAACTAAAATGTGCTTAAAATTGCTTTCTAACTCGCCTTCACTAGGCTAATTACCATTTAAACAGTGAAATAAAGCAATAAAAAAAATATAACAATGACGGGTCATTTAGAGGCAACTTGCTTTAAAGCATTTACTTCTTTTATGTCTTTCTCGTTCTTCTGAACCTCCCAAAAAATAAACGACCAAGAGAAAGAAAAGTTGATACAGTATAATACACTTAAATTTCAAGCTCAATGTTTTGAGACAGCAAACCTATAAAGTTTCAATAAAGTGACTCATAAATTGTGGTTATCTCAAAAGTATCGTAAGAGCTGTAGCAGTAAAAAATTACGACAATGCCACTGTTGAGTCACGTAAATGGCAATTATCGCAAGTGAGAAAAAGTTTTGAATAAGTTATTCAGTAAGCTTATTCGGGTTTACACTAACGTTGCAGCATGTAATAATTTTATCGTTTAAGTCGATCAATAGAATTCTTCTAATAGAATTATCAACAAATCACGAATAGCAATGCTTTGCTGTACTACTTCATTAAGACTTCTCAGGTAGTATGACAGAGAATTCTAATGTATATTCCGTATCTTTTTACTATTTTTTTGTTATGCTTTATAATTTTCAATCTGTGAATGCTCCACTAATAAACGGTATAAAGTTAAAAAAAAAAAAGATTTGGTCTTTTCAAAAGATCACTAAAGTTAGTAAAATCAAGTTTTTAGTGTACGTGAGAAAGGCGTCTCTTTCTCAAAAAAGTAGCCAAAACACAACATGGATTCCTACTCACGACAGAAGTGGGGGTAAGAAAGGAAGTATAAACAGGAGAGAGTTACACCTTTTCCGTTCTACAATAGTAGCAGTCGAAAAAGTAGTTTGCCCAGTTTACTTACCAGGTCTCAAACAATTGTAACAATTTTCTTTTCGTATTATTAATCTTTCCTATAGTGATAAAACAAAAAAAAAACAAAACAAAACAAAAAAAATTTAAAAGGGATACCTTATATTCCTCATAAATGCTATACCAAGCATTTTGTGTTGTTAAATTGACGCATTGAGTGATTTGTTGACAAACAAATTCGGAGTTGGCTTTTACAAATTTAGAAGAATAGTTAAATTTTAAATCCTGAAAAAAAAGAGGAAAAAACTAGAACAGCAAATTTAAATCAATTTGTCTATACAGTTTTTTTTGTTTATTATTTTATTAAACAAATTAACCTTTTCTTGTTGTTGTTTTTCTTGTTGTTGTTGTTGTTGTAACAATAATCTTGTTCGATTATTTACGTGTTAAAAAGAAGTTAATAGTTTACAGCATACTTAACTATTGCAGTTAGTGACAACAACTGCAGCAGTATGAAAAAAAAATATGAAGCGAAAGAGGAAGAAAAACATTGAAAAAAACAAACATTGAATCAATTTTTTTTTTTTTGCGGAACTAACAGTACTCTAAAACTGATCTATTTGAAACTAAAACTAAACTGTATGACACTGAACCGTGATACTGCTCGCCAAATATACAGTGTCGGTTTTGATGCCACTCAAAAAGCAACACGTAAATGCATTTTTTTTCTCTCTTCCGAACACTTCTCAACTTAATACTATCGTATCGAATAGTAATCGCTGACAGACATAACAAACTTATTTAATCTGTTGTTATAAAGACAAAAAAAAAAAAAAAGTTTAACAAAATATGTTCAGCCTAAACACCTCAGTTTATTTACCCTCATTTTATATTACCTCACTATAACAGTTGCTGAATTTTAAACTAACTTGTACTAAGTTTTATAGCTAAGCTTTTTAAAATGTTAATCAAATAAGCTGTCAAATAACACTGCGTACTCCTTGCCCTCTTTTTTTGGCTACAAAAACTAAAGCAACATCTATTTTGCAAAAAACTTTGATTTTTAAAGTTGATTTTACACCTATAATTTTTTTTAATACAATTTTTATTCAATACATTAAATAAGAAAAAAATACAAAAGAAAAAGCGAACTTACATTGTCGTTACAGATATAATTTGGTGCTAAACCACCAAGACTGAAGAAGTTGACAACAAAATGTGCAGCTTGCGGTAAACACAGATATTGAACAGTTATAAAGAAAAATAACTGAAATAAAATTAAGCAAAAGTTTTTCTACTTTTTTCTTTTTTCAAGTTTTAATTAATATTTCATCTTTAATAATATCATTATTGGACAGTAAAAGTAAAAAAAGACCTAATCAGATACTGTATAAAAGTAAACTTGCCTTAGGCAGATCGATGAAGGCATCATACGGTAATACCGATATTTATACGATCAGATAATTTAAATAAGTGAAAAGGTGTAATAATGACAAGCAAAAAAAAACTTAAAACAATAAACTTAATCTAACCTGGTAAGCTCCATAGTTTTTAATTTCTGCAAACAGTTTATCAAAAGACGTAACCGGCTTATTTGCATAGACCACCATTATGTTTGATTTTTCAACGAACTTTTATGGTTTACCGGGAACAGGGGAAAAGGGGAAAGATGCGAGGGGACGGGGGGGGGGG